CTGATTGATTACAATTCCTTCCTTTTTGGATTGGTATCTGATTTGCCGCGGAATCTACTTTGCCTTCGTGACGACTCAAAAAGGAGATTATTCGCTCGTCAGTATCCTTGACGTTTGGCAATTAAGTTTATCGATTATCCTTATCCTGGATAATAAAATATCCTCACTCGGGTTTGTGATTAATGCCACGTGGAAGTTTTAATTATTGCGAGACCCGGCCGGTCTGACCGTAATCCAATTTGGTTTCGTAAAGAAAAACTAAAGATGGGTGAATTAGCTCAATATTTTACATGAAAATTTTCAAAAAATGACATTTTTCAAGTGTTACTTTACAAAAATGCCACATCTTTAAAATCTTTACAAAAATACCATTTTTTCAAAATTATTTTTTATTTATATTATTTATGTTTGGGTTAATTATGTTCTATTAGGGGTTTAGTTTTGAGTGTTTAAGGGGTTTTAGGTGTCAAAACATTTTTTAGGGTTTAGAATTTTAAGATATATGCTTTATAAATATATAATTAGTAGCATTTTTGTAAATGGACACCTCTAAGTGGCATTCTTGCAAATGTGCACATAAAAAGTGGCATTTTTGTAATTGTCCCATATTACTTTTAGGTGCATAATTAGGAGATTAATATAGGTATAATAAAAATTAGGTGAATAACATAGAGGTAAAATATTTGGACGAAATTGCCCTTGTTTAATTTGTTAAGGAATGAGAAAAGAAAGAGTAAAATAATAATAATTTGTTAAGAAAAGTTGCAGGAAAAAAAATCCTTGAAATATATCAATCATTGATGAGTATCTCTTCTTCTATTAAATGGTAATTGCTTATGTTGTTCATCAGTTAGAGACGTTTGAAAGAAAACCAGTAGAGATCGAGGCCGAGAATGGTGAAGACGAGATCTGGTATGTAAGATGGTAATCAAGTATACAGAAATATTATAGTAGTCAACTATACTAGTATATATATTATATATACTAGTTAGTTATACTGGAAAACTGAAGCTAATTATAGTAGTCAGCTCTATTGAATTATGGTAGTCGACTATACTAGTATATATTATACATAGTTCATTAGATCTTAGTGTTAAGTGTTAATGCAGGTGAGGTTTATGGAATATATTCACCATTTTATTTATAGTTGACTATTTTGTTTATTATGTAAAACTGTAGTCAACTATAGTACACTATGTAAAACTGTAGTTAACTAAAGTATATGCCACATTTACTTGAAACAGATACAAAGGTGTGTAAACTCCAAACTACCAAACCATATAATAGTTAACTATTTTCGGACAATTGTTAATTATTAGTATAACGAAGTTGACTATATGGAGGACAATAGTTACCATGCACGCTTTATCAAGCTTTTTAATCGATATACAACTCAGTGCGACGAGCTGCAGACCGTGAAGGAACCCTTGAATTGCCATTGTGGGTTGACACATAGCGGATTCTTTCCTGGCCTTTATGCTCTCATTGTCAAGGCGAAACAATCTCTTCTCCATGAGTGTTGTAGAAAAACATCCAAGTCTCTAATCATATCAACGTGGGAGTCAATTATCTTATCTGAAACATAACACCAAAAACATAGTTAACTATTGTACCTTAATAATGTGTTGTGAAAAACATAGTTAACTATCATACTATCATTGGTAACTATTACCATAACTATAGTTAACTATCATAATGAACTTGTCCAAAGGATTTTCTGGGAAACGGCCACGAGAATTGAGGGATTTGATGGTTGAGTGGTAATCATCTGGGTTCTTAGCACATAACACTCTCGTCAAGAAGATAGCTGAGCTCCGCCGTGAGAAAGCGGCGGAAATTTCCCCTTGCGACGGGGAATTATCTCTGTTAATCCATGACCGAGACGGTCGAATCGATGAGAACAATCGAACAGTTCAATCATATAGCCAAAGCAAACTCAAAAAGAGAAAACTGAAAGAAGAAGAACAGTTCAATCATGTTTTAGGGTAATATAGTTTTTTTTATTTAATTTAAAATTTATTTTTTATTTAGATTATTAGCAGAATCGTGCCTAGAGTTTTTAATGCTATAAGTGAAGTAAAAGTTTTAATT